ATAGGGATAGGGTTAGGGATAGGGATAGGGATAGGGATAGGGATAGGGATAGGGATAGGGATAGGGTTAGGGATAGGGATGGGGATAGGGTTAGGGATAGGGATAGGGATAGGGATAGGGTTAGGGATGGGGATAGGGATAGGGATAGGGTTAGGGATGGGGATAGGGTTAGGGGTGGGGATAGGGATAGGGATAGGGTTAGGGATGGGGATAGGGTTAGGGATAGGGATAGGGTTAGGGATGGGGATAGGGATAGGGATAGGGATAGGGATAGGGATAGGGTTAGGGATGGGATAGGGATAGGGATAGGGATAGGGGATAGGGAGTAGGGATAGGGTTAGGGATGGGGATAGGGTTAGGGATAGGGATAGGGATAGGGTAGGGATGGGGATAGGGATAGGGATAGGGTTAGGGATGGGGATAGGGTTAGGGATAGGTTAGGGATGGGGATAGGGATAGGGATAGGGATAGGGATAGGGATAGGGTATAGGGATAGGGATAGGGATAGGGATAGGGTTAGGGATAGGGATAGGGTTAGGGATAGGGATAGGGATAGGGATAGGGATAGGGATAGGGATAGGGATAGGGTTAGGGATGGGGATAGGGTTAGGGATAGGGTTAGGGATGGGGATAGGGTTAGGGATAGGGATAGGGGATAGGGGTTAGGGATGGGGATAGGGATAGGGTTAGGGATGGGGATAGGGATAGGGATAGGGATAGGGTTAGGGATGGGGATAGGGTTAGGGCTAGGGATAGGGATAGGGATAGGGTTAGGGATGGGGATAGGGTTAGGGATAGGGATAGGGATAGGGTTAGGGATGGGGATAGGGATAGGGATAGGGATAGGGATAGGGATAGGGATAGGGATAGGGATAGGGATAGGGTTAGGGATGGGGATAGGGTTAGGGATAGGGATAGGGATAGGGATAGGGTTAGGGATAGGGATAGGGATAGGGATAGGGTTAGGGATGGGGATAGGGATAGGGATAGGGATAGGGATTAGGGATAGGGATAGGGTTAGGGATAAGGGGTTAGGGATGGGGGATAGGGATAGGGATAGGGGATAGGGTTAGGGATGGGGATAGGGATAGGGATAGGGTTAGGGATAGGGATAGGGATAGGGATAGGGTTAGGTATAGGGATAGGGTTAGGGATAGGGTTAGGGATGGGTATAGGGTTAGGGATAGGGTTAGGGATAGGGTTAGGGATAGGGGTAGGGTTAGGGATAGGGATAGGGATGGGGATAGGGATAGGGATAGGGATAGGGATAGGGTTAGGGATGGGGATAGGGTTAGGGGATAGGATATATAGAGATGTTCTAAAATCATTGATTTTCTAAGACCACTCCAACCTAATTTTTGTTTTATGACATTTTAGAGGAATTTAAGATTTACCAAGAGGGCAACACAAAGTCATGGGAGGACAATTGGAGTGTAACAAAATTTTTCTCCTGTACAAACCAATCAAGAATTTAACCTGGGACCTTATGTTTATATTCAAGTTATCATTTTTTCTTTAAAATTCGAGGTCAAACATAAAGTTGGAGTGGCCTTACTGAGGAGCTTGCCGTTCTGTTTAGGTGGCAGGACACCATGGTTGGAAAGCTGAGACACGTGCTGATTTTCCTTCTCATCATCCTGAAGGAGCCCAACATGCCGGAAGCTGGCTGCAGCTGTGAATCTTTATCACCCTGCAAGTGCCGCAACCTAGGCCTCACCAGCATCCCTCAGAACCTCCCAACATCCATCTCTGAGTTGGACTTAGAAAGTAACCGTATTAACACTGTAAAGCAGTATGAGCTGTTACGGTATAGGAATTTGTGTAAGTTGTGCCTGAGAAACAACAAGATAAGAAACATTGAAGCTGGTACACTTGCTAATCTGCCCAAGCTACAATATTTATCCTTTCGTAACAACCAGATAACTACCATCCCTTCTGGTACATTTGCTAATCTGCGCAAGCTACAAGAGTTGCACCTTGGCAACAACCAGATAACTACAATCCCTTCTGGTGTAATTGCAAATCTGCCCAAGCTACAAAAGTTGCACCTGCACACCAACCGAGTAAAATACATCCCTTCTGGTACATTTGCTAATCTGCCTGAGCTACAAAATTTGCACCTTGAAAACAACCAGATAACTACCATCGATTCTGGTACATTTGCAAATCTGCCAAAGCTACAGGGTTTGTACCTTTCCGACAACCAGATAACTGCCATCCCTTCTGGTACATTTGCAAAACTGACACAGCTAAAAATATTGTTCCTGTCCTACAACCAAATAACTACCATCCATTCTGGTGCATTTGGAAATCTTCCACTTTTAAATCATTTGGGACTTTACAAAAACAAGATGACGGCCATTCCCCCGTCAGTTTTCTGCTTGTCCCTATTTACAGACGAAATAGAACTTCGCCGGAACCCCTGGCAGTGTGACTGTAGGATGGCTCCCGTCATGCTAATCCATGCATTAAAGAAACAGATCATGTGTGCCCAACCCGCCAAACTTCAGGGACAGAAGCTTGCAAATGTCGATCATAAAGAATTGATATGTAAAGATCCAACCATATCACCACTAACTGTTGATAGCTGTTCTGCTGCAGTGTCAACACCTTCAGTCGGTAGCACAGAAAGCAATACTAACCCGTCAGTCTTTAAAACCACTGCTGAATCAGCAACACACCCTGCAGAAAGCACAAGCAAAACGATCTCTCGCAACTCTCACTTTAAGTTCAATAATGCCCCAAAACCAGATCCTGACTCAACGTCAAGCCCTGCAGGCACAACAAGAGTAACACTAACTTCGCCCCTTGCAATCACCTCAGAGATGCCAGAATCTGCTCCCAGTTCCCCTCAGTTAACCACGTCTACACGGATACCTGATATCCAATTGATCTCACACAACTCTCACTATCACTGGTACTTCAAGTTCAATGCTGCCCAAATGTCAGATCCTGCCGGCAAAACAAGAGCAACACTAGCTTCGCCCCTTGCAATCACTTCGGAGAAACCAGAATCTGCTCCCAATTCCCCATTACTTGTTCCCATTGGCTCTAGCTGTGGTTCAGTTGCTGGCACTATTCTGATTGGGACCTTCTTGGCCGTAATTTGGTACAAGAAGAGGACCAGACATCCTCCATTAGGGCCGAATCCCAATGTTGTTGGGGGCAACACAAACACATCGGCGTCTGTAATGACCAGTGGTGATGATCACCAGTATAAAGATATTGATAAACCCCGTGTTAAGACAGGGCAGGGTCAGTCTCAGGCCAACACTGCATCCAACACAAACACAATAGCTAATGTATTGGCCAGTGGTCATGATCAGACAGTGCAGGGTCAGTCTCAGGCCGTGACTGAATCATTGGATGTGAGAAATCTATGTCATGGCACAGGGCCGACTGCCTCACAGCAGAATTCTGTATACAAAGCTGTGACCCAGTCTCAGACCATCACAAATACAGCTGTCGTAATGACCAGTGGTGATGTTCAGACAGGGCAGGGTCAGTATCAGGCCATCACTGAATCCCTCGATGCTAGAAATTTATCTTATGGCACAGGGCCTACTGCCTCACAGCAGAATTCTGTATACAAAGCTGTGACCCAGTCTCAGACCATCACAAATACAGCTACTGTAACAAGTGGTCACGATCATACAGGGCGGGGTCAGTATCAGGCCATCACTGAATCCCTCGATGATAGAAATTTATCTTATGGCACAGGGCCTACTGCCTCGCAGCTAAATACGCTGTACAAAACAACTACTGCAAGGACTAGCGGTCAGAATCAGACAGGGCAGGGTCAGTCTCAGACCATCCCTGAATGCACCACAAGCACCACAGCTACTGTAATGACACAGTGATCATTATTACCGGTTTGACGATTTTGAAACCAATTATTTTAAGCCAGGACAGGATCAGTCTCATACCAACACTGTAGTGGCCAGTGGTCATGACTAGGCAGGGCAGGGTTAGTCTCACCAACACTGAATCCAACACAAACACCACAGCTACTGTAGTGGCGAGTGGTCATGATCAGACAGAACAGGGTCAGTCTCAAACCAACACTGAATCCAACACAAACACCACAGCTACTGCAGTGGCCAGTGGTCATGACAAGGCAGGGCAGGGCCAATCTAAGGCTAACGCTCAATCTCCCACAGTTTGCGATATGTTACGTAACGATATTTGCAACTGTGGGGGATTGAGTGCTAGCTGCCTTACATCCAAACTCTATGTACGTAGATTCCAACAAAGGACGAAGCATCTACAGAAATGATCAGGGTCATTTAGGAGCTAATATCCAATCTCTGAAAGTGGGGAATTTATCACATTACGAAGTGCTAGCTGCCTTACAGACAAACACTATGTATGTAGAATCTGATGTTAAAACACCACCAAAGAACCCAACATGTACAGAAATAGCCAGTGGTCATGATCAGGCAGGGCAGGGCCACTCTTAGGCTTACGGTATATTCCCCCTTTTTGTGTAAGTTACATTTCTAAGAAACAAATTATTTGCAAAATTTGTTCCTGGAAAGTTTTCAGTGAGAAGCTTTTATTGTGAAACAGTTGGTAACAATTGCACAGATTTAAAATCAAACAATCCATGTGCAGATACAGGCATTGTAAGAAGTACTGGTCTTACTATAATCAATGACCTACCAAAAACAGGGATTTTTTTAAATGATTGTGATTTTGAACAAGTAATTTAAAGCATTGTAGCATTTGTGGATGTAACTATTTCAGAATCTTGACCTTTTTATTAAGAATGATGGTATTGATGTATTTTGCAAAGATTAACTTTATAGTTGTTCCTACTTTAATGATTGCCCTACAAAGAACAGGGAAATAGCGTTGTCATTTTGTGTAAAATATAAAACGCAGAACCATGGACTATCTCAGTTTGGAACTAGTAGCAGAGCAATGTACCGCAGAAAGTATAAAGATGTAAAGTTTCGTTTTAAGTTAAAGGCATTAATGCTGAGTCTGTTTAAAAAATGCGTTGTAGGTTGCAGTTTGAAGTTGCAGTATTGTAACAATTGTGGTAATAACTATTTTAGAATGTGTTACATTTTACTATTGATGGTGTGATTGTTGTATTTTGCAATGTTTAACTCGAATGCTTGTTCCAACTTTGATTCTACGATTGATTGCCCTACCAAGAACAGGGAAAGAGTGTTTTGTTGTTCTGGGTAAAGTATATAATGTATAATTATGGACGGCCTAAGTCTGGAACTCTAGGCGCAGAGCGAAGTATTGGTGAAAATCTAAAAGATTGGTGCCATTTTAAGAGGCATAAACACTGATGATTTTTTTTTGGGGGGGGGGTTGTTGTACGTCTATTCTAAATGTTGGAATCTGATGATGTAGTATTAAGTAAGACACCATAACCTGCATCACTGTTGTTATCCATAGAACTTCATCAACATGGCCTGTACTTAGTCTGTAAGGGCATAAATATAATAATGGTCATTCGTTGATTCATGTTATTCATTAGTAAATACAGCAGAAATTTGCATATTCTTGTTTGTGTTTCCTTTATTGAAACGTAACTCCCAGTGCCCCTCTCAAATATGGATTTAAACAAGACCAGAGGGGAGTATACACGTTACACTCGTTACACGTTATTGAGCTATTTTGTTGCTTATTGTGACCCCAGCGCTCGCGGAATAGTCCTCTTGCACCTTGTGCCAGACAACATACATCTCATATGCAACGGCTGAAAGGTGCAATGTACACGTAACCCGGAAGGTGTCGCTTGCACTATATTTTCCGCAAGGTCCCAGCAAAAGATGACTAAAGAATGCAATACGAGCGAACGCTGTTTCTGTTTACATAAAAATTATTTGAAGAAATATGCAAACCATTAGTAGGCAAACTAACCACCATTTTGCCTATCATGACGTCATGGCGATCGCTTGTGTAAGTAGCAGGTAACAGCTGATGGAGTGATGTCATCTAGCCTCGTTTTCACAGCGGTATTCAAGATGGCGGCAACTTAGAAGGTTGGTAACTTTTTCTATCGTTAGGGATTTGTGAGATGGACTTTTTGTGGGGAACTTACGGCACTACCGGGAATTTTGTGAAGGTATATTAACGTTAACAGCTGTGTGACAATCAGGGAAGACGTGTTGGTAGCTTAAATGAAGTCTCAAATCTATGAAAAATTCGTTGTAACGTCTTCATAAGCCCCCCTCCCATTCTTGATCGATATACGTAGAAGTGTACACGACAGTATTAACGTATTTTGACTGATATGACTGCAGTCTCCACCAGCCCCCCCTCCCCATTGTTCTGTCAATAACGTTCACATATAACTTGCCAAGTCCTTTGACAACAGATGCCCCCCTCCCCAAATTTCAGTACTGTTTTAGGAGGGCCTGCAAGGGGGGGGGGTCCCGACAACGCTCTACGCTGAATTCGGAAACCTTCGATTACGCTTTACGATAAATTCCAAGTGGCTACAACGCATTACGTTTAAAATTAAAGCGGCGAATACGCTCTACGCAAAATGCGAAGAGCGGTCCGTCTACGCTCTACGTAGAATTAAAACGGCCGATTACGCTCTACGGAAAAGGGCTTGTGGGCCCCCTTTTAGGTCCTCCGATCCAAGAAGTCTGTTGGAGACTCATGTTTGTGTACAACGTGAGGAATTGGGTAGTAGATAAAATCTTACAACACATTCAGATTTGATTACTTCTAACATATTGTCCAGAAAGTCATGATCAGATGTGTACACTGAGTTTGTAGCGCTTTGAAGCCTTAGTTTTATTTATTAGTGACATAAAAACACTTTTGTTCTACCCTAAGGCTGGAAATTCCTCTTAACACAAGTCAGTTTCAATTTGGGAGTTTGTCTTCCAACTGGCAAAGCGTGAGAAAGTGCCACACAACATTGTAACGTCGAGCCGGTGGGGGTTTAAGTGCTTGAGAAGCATTAACAGGTGTGATACAAGTCTTTACGAAAACTTGGCAAGATACAAGGAAATTGTAGGACTTTCTCATAGCTATAGCTAGAGCACCAGAAAGAAATCCCTAAACATGAAGGTCCCTGTGGCGCAATCGGTATGTGAACTCGGTCGAATTCTGTGGACCAGTCGGCGCGAGTTCGAACCCAGGCAGAGTCGTCTTAGTTCGCAGATGTTTTGACGATTACTCTTTTTATTGTTAGTATTATTATTATTATCATCATCATCATTACATGTACCTTACTGACAAGTCTTTTTTTTAGTTTTCAACCATTTGATTTAGGCTGTAAGCTTCCTTAATTCTTGCATCCTTTTTAATAATGTTGGGACTTTTGATAAGGTAATGTTAGGTACAACATCAGTGACTCCTTGAGTGAGAATGCACAGTTGGTGCAAAATACTCACTTTATTCGCTGTCCTAAACTTACGTTTTTCTCATAAAATGCGTCCATAGCAAAACTATTTGCCAGTGATAAAAGAGCGTTGGCATTCTCAATAACCAAGATAAGGAACATTCAGGATTTTGAGTTACAGTATATAGTAGTGCTTCTGATTCAGCCCTGTATATATATAGGCAGCATAGCAATACACACATTTTATGCGTGCAATAAATCTCTAGTATACAAAGTAGGCTACTAGAATGAATTTTAGATTATGACATTAAATATAACATACTAATAGAAATTGCTTGTATGCTATTTCCATTCACTTGTTATGCCTACATCATCCGGGATATCTCACGTATACAATATTCTGATTTTTGAATCATAGTTTGATTTCCCGTGTACACAACTTAAGGCCAAAGCAGGTAAATGTTATGGATAACATCCTCCACAGACTCCAAATCTAATGCGACAGGGCGAAAACAAAAAAGGCGGGTAGAAAAACAAGATCCCTACATTTCAATTTTTTGACGTTCTGGATAGTCCACACGTATCCAAAACCATGCCTGGGGCAAATCTACGTTCTTGCATATGCAGAGACTATCCAGAACCGTGCCTGATCCTAACCCTAACCCTAGCCCATGGCATGAAACTACATAGGCACGGTTCTGGATACGACAAAGCCATGTCGATATTCTCCTGGGAACGAGACGACAGACACGTCACTGCCGCTGCTCTCTCATTGGCCGTTTTGAATGGCGATGGCGGGCTCGGCTCTCGGTCCCGGGATGCCTGACAGCTTGAGGCTGAACCTTCCCGCGATGGAGCTGAGGGACAGGCCCAGGGACTGGAACCAGGGGTCAACGCACGAGCGGACGATGGCCTTGATGGTCAGACCGAAGAGCCTCACTGCCATGAAGCACATCTTGAGCCAGGGGTGGACAAACCACACGATGAAGAAGTTGAACAGGCCAAACGCCAGGCCCCACACAACAGCCAGAATCACCCCCAAACCGGCCGACAGCACTTTGTAAATGCCACTCTGTGTAGGAAAAAAAAACAGACAGCTAGGGTTTAATTTTTTAATAGGTTTGAGAGCATTGGGCAGAAAGCACATAATGAGTCCTTTGCTCATAAAACAAAAGGAACATTGTCACAAAGAAGAGGGATTTTAGTATTCACGGGGAAGCCTGCAGTTTGCAGTTATTCCGCTGAATGGCGCAGGTATATGAATTTTACCCAGTCAACAGAACAGGAGCTATCTCCATTGAGGCATATCATGTACATAGGACGACAGTTTTCTGTAATTTTGTATAGTCGGTATAGTCGCCTATCGGTGTACCACACCAGCTATAGATACGATGAAAACTCCCCAAATGTGCTACCAAATATTTTGATGTTTTAAAAAAAGCATGATCAAAATGACATTGAGAAATACAATACACAGAATAAAGGTAACAAAACTAATGCACCCTGACCTGTGTGTACTCGAACACCACCTGGTTGACGGCTTTGACCGGCTCAAAACTTGTCACATTCTGCGGCTCGTTAAAGATCTCATTAAAGGTGACCTGTTGAAAACGAATCCGGTAAAGTAGATTTTTTATAATTTCCCCCAAATTTATTTCAGTGTCATTAACCTGTACATTAAAAGCTAATATTAATAGTTAATAGCTAATAGTACAACACATAACAGTGACAGGTTGGAGTTTTAGATAAATGCAGATTAGCAAAGTTATAGGCGTGACACAAATGTGCTTTTCACTGTAGAGAGTTTCATCTTTAATCAGTTAGTGTATTATTGTCCAAAAAAAGGTAAAGGTAGTTACTTTATAACGCGGTATATAGTCTCAAATTGCGATTTTTTTTTAAAAGCATGGTCTTGTTTCATTTAATTGTCCTGCGGAGCCTATATGTTTATATATGGGTTGCACACACGGTACCATCTATATACCTGTACATGTACGATTTGGGATATTTCCCATGCAAACATATTGTGTAAAAACGCCAGCAGGACAATGGTTAATATTTATACTGTCCTCTTCTACCCACCTTCACGTGGCCCTTTGTACTGTAAATGTCCATATCTTCCTCCTCGTCTCCCGGGGCATGCTGGGCACGCTGCAGCTGGATCAGCCGGTCGGACTCAACAAAGGCCTGCGGTCCCACCACGCCCTGCTGGGCGGCGCTGCTAGCCATGGCCTGGTAGGTGTAGTTCGGGTTGTCGTACCCAGGGGGCGCTGTGGTGGCGCCGTAGCTCATGTTTGAACCGGAGGTTTTCTCGCTGCAAAACAAAATGCCCACATTGATTTACAACCACCTGAACTGAACTAAGAGTCCCGGGTTCGAGTCCTGACATGCCACCGATCTTGTGCCCTTGGGAAAGGCACTTTACACGACTTTCCTCACTTAGCTCAGGTGTAAATGAGTATTGTTCTGTCATGTATTTGTCCCCTGTGTTGATGGCGGCATTAACATAAGTTGAAGAAACTTGAGTGTGTCGTCACCACGTCTGGTGATTACATGTTGGAAAAAAACATCTGAAAGTAGGCGGAACACAAGGAGGCAATGTGATCTGTGGTTAGGGAGTTAGGGTTGTTGACTAAGAATCTAAAAGTTCTGGATTCGACCCCAATGTTGTGCCCTTGGGCACTCTACACCCATTTCCCCATTCGTCTTAGGTGTGTACGTAGCTGAGCACCTAGCTTCGGCTTGGGACGTCCACTCGGATGGGACGTAAGGTTAGAGGTCCTGTGTTTGAGGAGAGACACACACAGTAAATATCCCACCATACGTATAGATACGAGTAGGGCCAGTCCCGGTGTGAGTGGACCAAAGTCCTTTCTTACACAGCTTGTATAATTTTCAAGCAGATCCTAGGGTGGCAAAAGACAGTACAATGTATCAAAATTAGTCGGACAGTATCTATTTACCAGAGAGGGTCCATACGTCACCCAAGGGTACTGTCTGCCCAATTTGCCACCCTAGGATCTGCCCGGAAATTACAGCTTGTACTTATTCTACAAAACTGGTGTGTTACGCCAAAGTTGGTTCACAGGTTACGCGAAACAACAAAAGCTCACACTGTAGCCTGCCTTACAGGTTCTTGCAGCAAAAAAAGGACAGAACATACCGATAAAAACTTACCTGCCGAGAAAAGTGTCGTCAGGTCCTGCCGACATGGAAAGTTGGAGGCGACACGTACTTCCTGTTTGTGAACTCGTGACTGGGGGTCAATGAACGGAAGTGACCTCGTCCTCGTGAGGTCACGCTAAGTACCTTAAAAGCATTTCCTTGTAGTGCAGCATGAACAAGGCTATAAAAAAGGACATTTTGGACGAGAATATTACAATATCGATAACACAATGCTCATATATTGGTGATAAAGTTAATTCTTTGCAGGTTTTGGTGAATGGCTTTTAGCACATTAACGGTTCCCAGTAAGTTTTTAGTCTTCCCCCAAATGAAACAATTTATGCCAGGAGTTTAATTCTCCTATTATGAAAACTGATATATTTTTGTAGGGAGTTGTCTTTTTTACACGTCACTTGTGCCCATTTTATTGTGTTTACCCTTCCCCTAGCCTGCTGCGTTGCTATGTCGTTATTAATGATTAATCCTACTTCAAACATAACCGTCCATGTTATGGTCGCCAGTTCGCACGTATACGGCTGTTCAGTCTCCAGCGTACTTTTGGACCGTGCCCAAGATTTCTGTAAGCGCTGGACAGGCTCCAAGAATGATATAAAAGTCCGGGGCAAGGGAGACTATAAAATGGTCCTTTGCTGAATGGGGATAAAGTGGATGCTTTGGACTGTTTCTTTATCTCTCGTTTTATTGCTTATTGAAAAGGCGTAAGACCAGAGCTGCTGTGACCAAATAGCTAGTGTCAATCTGCCTTTCAATTTACCCCCACACACCTACTTATGGGTCACTTTTGCTGCGGAAGGCTGTAGCGAAATCCTGCATTTATTTTTGTGTCTGAAAAAAAATAGACTTTTAATCTTTAACAAAGACTTTTTGACTATAACTTTCAAAAGAATCTCTCCATGTAATGGCGTGAATGATATTTCTAATTCTGTGCTTAAAATTCTAGTTCTTTATTCAACTAACTCCATAAAGTTCCTTAGTAACCAATCAATCAATCAATCAATCAAAAATGGTTTATTGCTAAAATCAAGAACATTGCAGCATAAAGCTGAATTACGTTCAAAGATGTACATCCTGTTTTAAAAACATTAACGACTGCACAATCTTGGAGTCAAGATGTGATAATAGAGTTACACATTAAAAATATTTACACGATATTACATACATTTAGCATAGTGAAATTCAAATTTTGGTCATTCACATTAGTACTGTACATTTCAACATTACATTAAACTATTTCACCATTAACCCTTTCACCATTCGTTTTTGTCATTTCGTCAAGGTCAAGCTACAGAAATAGCCGTTACTAACAAGTTCTTTGGCGCAACTTATCTGAACACAATCAAGACGACAATCCCCCAGCACGAATAGCGAGTCTAAATGCATTCCGTTCGGGTGATTATCTCAGGCAATTACTTTTATGGTTCGTCACAGCTTGTTGACGGGAAAATCCGCGCTTTCCGTTGTTTTGCAATGCGAGGCTTAGCAACTGTAAGGCGATGTTGATTTGATGATATGGATAGCATCCTCTGGGAACCCCAAAACTGATGCGCGCGTGCGAGTAAAAAACAGTTTGGCCAAAAAAAAAAGTTGCTTTCATTATGAAATCTACGTGGTTTTGAAGGTTGGAGAAATAACACAGAGTAAGGTATGGCGAATAGTCTTTAAATTCATTTCTGTACATTTCGTATTTTTCGTTTCGATTTTGGCATTCTACGACATTGATATCGTTTTCCAATGTTTTAGTTTTTCCAACTTACGGTATATATTTTTTCATTTTGCAACTGTTCTGTACGATCTACAGTATGGTTGAAAACTTTGACTTTTTTTTAATCGGCCTAAAATTTATGCGCACCCGGATGGCATCCATATAATCAAGTCAACATGGAAAATACACGCGCTTTCCGTTGTTTTGCGATGCGAGGCTTAATGCTGATAATGGAAATACACAGACCTGTTTGTTATCGAACAGTTATATGTATGCGTACAGGCAACTGCAAATCCTGGATAATTGCCTTTCAACTTAACGTTCACTGCATTAAAAGTGGTATTTACTCGAAGGTAGCTCAGGCAATGGTCGCTTTAGGGTATAAACTCGAGATGAGCATAGATTTCCTGTGTGTATTAATCACTGTTGATAAATCACACATTTTATGGAGTTAGCCTTTATGTATGACTCAAGATGTCTTTTTTACTTATTAAGCACATGATTATGTCGTATGTGAGTCTGACTCATAAAAAGGTAAGTGTGTACTTATCCAAAGTCCTGCTATAAACGCCAGACAAGTATACATTTCCTTTGTGTATCAATCGCTATTAGTAAATCACACATTTTATGGAGTGAACTCTGTATGTACAACACCAGATGTAGTTTTTAATTTTTTTTCACGTACGTGATTTGTCGCAGGTATACAGGTATTTTTCAACAATATATTTCAGAAAAAACTTAAGTGTGTACCTATCCCAGGTCATGCCCGAACTAACAAGCCACAACAGTCAAACTTTGAAACGTTTGAAGCGGCAACATGAAAGCATGACGTACCGCCAACCGTCATGTCTGTATCTGGCGCACAGGTTGAGTAGTTTCGGCAGGAGAAGACGAGAAAAGGATGAGCGATGATGATGGTTCATTCCCGCGGATGATGGAAAGATATGTCCGAGTTAATGGATGGAGAAGGCAGGAGTATGCACAATCGGGACGTCCTAAAGTCAATCAAAAGGAAAAAGTAGCTTCAATAAAATATCATCACAGAAATATATTTTGTTTGAACCTTACCTTTACTGGATGGAGAAGTCAGGAGTAGGCACAATCGGGACGTCCCAACGTCAGTCAAAAGGAGAAAAGCAGCTTCAAAAAAATATCATCATCACAAAGATATATTTTGTCTGACCCTCACCTCTTCGCTAACGACATCAATGAAAAGCAGCCTGTGGGCAGATTTGGGCTTCTTTTGAATTAACAAAAGTTTGAAAAAAGGAAAGTATTTCTGTACCTAGTGGGAGACAAGGTCATTGTCTTGTAGAAAGTAAATATACATGCAGGAACGAGTTGGATTCTCTATGTCTGTGTATGAAATCCGCATCAGTTGTAAACGTTGAACTTACAAAGAATTTTTTACGTGACTGTATACTGAATGATTTACCAGTTCATGGTGGCCAAGGTCTCCTCTGAACTCCCCATAGATTATAGCAGACATCTAAGATAAGATCGCATCAAGCCTATGAACCAAATACTCCCAGGAAATTGCGGTGATAATATCTGCATTTATACATCTAACAGAGATTGAAGATGGTCCATTAAGGTCCTGTACGGCCGAAAATGAGCCATTGGGCGTCAGGATACTTTCTACCTCCCCTTATCTCTAGGGTACAGATACAAAGTCTAAAATTCAGGTCGCTTTAAGGGTGCTATCACTTTCCAAAGCGCGTTCGGTAATATACCCTGGAGACAAACTCTGTAAATGTAAAAGGATTGACCCGTCTTAAGTGGTGGGAATCTTGGCGGAAACGGATTCAAGATGTGTCAGGCAGGTGAGATAAGACTCATGAGCCGTGTCAAGGACTGTTTGCATTGGTTATGCTCTCTTTTAGCTATTGACACAGTTTGTGTAACAGAGAGATCAAAACACAACACAGGTAGCAAATACAGAATCTAATGTGTAACACCACTGTCTTGTTTTGAATGTCAAAAAAGTACGAAGACGTGTAGATGAGAAGTTCTGCTGTAGTACCAAGAAAAGCCACCAGGAGGTCCAAAATCTACTCATTTCTTCATTAAGTTTAGAACTTAACAAAAAACAAGTTTAATCACAATCAATTTGTAGCCTCTAAAGCTATCGTGCTAAACAAACAAGCGCCACATCTAGGCAAAGGTCATGCATCTAGGTTTGCAAAGAATGTTTTTAGTACTTTCGGCGTCGTGAGGTGAAAACAATTTCCTGAAATGTAGTTTTTTTGTCAATTTCCAGGAATCTAAGGTTTTCCAATTTCCGGGAATGTGGTGGGGTTTCCTTATCGGCTTGCTCCAGCGTAATGGGGGTCATTGACCTAAATCCATTTGTGACTGTTTGGGGAAGGGACTTCAGACACAGGCTTTTAGGTGCCATAAAGCGGGGCATGTAGCCACAGTATTCCCTACGTGGCTTTATAACAGGAATAAAGCACATTTAAGTGCTTTCTTTATACCTACAATGCATGGGTGACCCCGTGTAGTTTCAAAACATGAACCCTTTATCCCCATAATGCTTGTTGGAGTGAGGAAAGTCGTACAAAGGGCGCAAATGTCTAGCCGGGAATGCTAGGGGTCGAGCCCGCGACCTCTTGGTATGGAGTTTGCTAGCCTTGTCGAGTGAAAAGGTCGAGTGAAAAGGAAGAACATGTTCTTATGGGGTGTCTTTTTTCTTGTTCAATTTGCATGCGAAACCTCCTCATTCTAACTGGAATTCTTATTTCCTGATAAACGGTTTCCATTAAACTACGTTATAGCGCCCGTAAGAGGTCATTTCTGCACGGTGGTACATACAAGCCACATGAGAACTCATATCGGGGCATACGCATGGTTTTAGGCAACCTGCTATCTTCTGGGTTAAAAGTTGGACTACTAAACCACTACACAAGATAAGCTAAAGTGCTTGACATCCATTGATGGACTGCGTAACACTTAAGAGGACCCAGTTTAACCGTAAACTGAATCTACAGACTATGCTTTCTACAAAATGGAAGCGCTGGCCCATGTTCAAACAAAGTAGAAACTATTTGGACACGGGCCATAACTGACCATTGAGAACGTGTTCTATCACTTTTACACCTCCTCAATGGTCGATCAATCCATGTTAGTTAGACATTGGCTGAAGCGTGTCGGTCTCCATATCTTATACTTACATTATTGCCTTTCTCAATCTTGGCGACGGATGTCGATGGAACTGTGCCATATTCTGGCAAAGTCTTAATCGGCACGGGCGTATCGGGGATGTTATCGCGAATCATCCCAACGTCCCATCTCGCTCTCGGATCATCTGATACCCGGGCCTCTCAAAGCGTCAAACCAAGAAAGCGTTGCGAGGTTCCCTTTACTGTA